ATCGGAAGACGTAAGAATTTATTTGATTTCACCGAATGATGATGATGATGATGACGTCGGTGGTAATTTTATTTCTTCGGCCATTTCGTTTTCTTTCTGTAAGCGTAATAGAGAGTACGGATTAGAGTTTTTTTTTTTTTTTTTGGTAGAAACAATTCTTCACGTGTTTAATTTAATTTTCAATTTAATTTCTTACTTCTTGATCTTCTAAATCTTGTATGTGTTGAAGTCCAGCACAAAAATGTAACATTAATATGGCCAAAGCTTGAGTTTTTTCATCGCTTTTCCCAATTAGAAAAGCTATTTTCGCTTTGTTCGTTTGATCTTTTTCCACTTGTTCTTCTCTCACCAATGTTGTTCTCGTGTCGGCTTCCGCATTGATTGCAACGTTCAATTTATTTATCTGTAAATTTACATCAAATAAGTTTTTATTTTTTTCCGTTCGATTGGGTTCTTTAACGTCATTTTCCGTTTATTTATTAACCATTTCGTTTATTTTATCCTTTCTTTCGTCCAATTTGAGGTCCTCGTATAATGTTTTCCCCGTTTCTTTGGCAAAATCCATCATGTCACCGGAATCCGATCCGTTTTCCATTAGCGCTTGTAAAAGTTCGGAAATTTCTTCGCTCAACTCCAAAGGAAGAGATGACTATAATAATTTTTTTTGCATAATTTTTGCATTTCTACGATAAAGTCGTCGTTAAATTTAAACCATACCTTTCTGCTGGGAGACGGTGATTGTTGGGGGGAAGGAGGTAAACTTCGAGATTGAGAATTTGAGGACGCGTCACCGGGAAGTGTCAAATTGTTGGCAGAACCCACACGTTTCAATCCCCGACTGGCAACCGTTGCCAAAAGGTTACCGAGTCTTTTTTTAGTAGGAGTCGGCTAAAAAAAAAAAAAAAAAAAAAAAAAAACGAATCAATTACAAAATAATTCCCCTTTTCAAAAAATTTTTAATTGAATGCGTTTATACCTGAGGAGTACTTTCGCGAGATGAGGAACCAGGTTCCGGCGTAAGACTGGCACGAACGCCATCTTCTTCGTAATTATAATTTTCTCCAATGTTTCCAACAGTGGAATCTATCGAAATGGAAAAATCGAAATTAAATTTTTTCGAATTGCAAAATTTAATTTTTAGGTCGAAGTAAAAAAAATTTAAATACCCGAACGTGGAACGCATATTTTATTTGCTTTGCATTTAGCAACGCATTTTTTATGACACGTCATACCACAAATTTTACATTTTTCCGCATCTTTCAACCAAATCTGCAACCACATTAAATTCATCGTTAAAAAAAAAATGATCGGAAAATTTAAATTTTCCCGACGGCAAATCCATCATCACCTTTCTCACCTTTCTCCCACAAAATTCACACTGAGTCGAAGTTTGAAAATGTGTTTTTACAAAATCGTGTTTTCTCTCTTCGAAATCCTGACTGGGTGTTTCCGATTCAGGTGTCACCGAACTAGGTTCGATTATTTCCGGTACGCTTTTAACATTTCCGATCACATCCGGCGATGGATGAAATTGAAGAGTGAGTATAATATCTCCGTAACATAACAATGGAATGAAACCGTTGTGACTTAGTAAAGGATGATTTCGTCTAGAAAAAAAAATTATTTTTTTTTCCAAAACCATCATCAAGTTATCAGGTGAACATGTCTCTTTAAATACTCACACGTTACTGGCGGAAAAACTATCAGGAGGTTTTAATTTTAAACATCTTAATGTATCGTAAGCATTTAAAACTTCACTTAATGGAATGTTTACGAAACCTAATAACTTATCGGTATTGGAATTACATTCGTTATATTTAACATTTATATTAATAAATCTATCATCGTTTTTGACCGGACATATTACAACTTCTTCAAATTGTATAATCTAAAAAAGACATTTTTTATAAATCAGTCACGATGCCAGACAACCTTACAACAATGGGTTTTGTATTCGTTTCTCACTTGTTTGTTAAATAAAACTTTCGATTTGTAAAGTTTCAATATATTTTCTGCTTCTTCTTCGTTAATTGTTTCTATGAGTGAATTTGACGGTTTACCAATATCAGATGCAGGTCGTTTCATTTGACTTTTGTTTGAGGAAGAACCTGAATAAAAAACGGACATTTTAAAAGATTGTTTTTTAATGAGACTAAAACAACATTTAATTTACTTACTTAATGTGGAATTAATACTACAACCATCACTTTCAGATCCTTTACGCCTACGTAAACTTAATGAAAGAGGAGAAGAAGGTAGGGAATGAGATTCTATATTATCATTGAAATTTTCAATTACTTTATCACGAATTTTTCTCTCTGCTCTAATTGTAAATTGTACGGCTGCTGATTTAATATATTTTTGAACCTGATTTATCGAAGTTATTTTTTTACCATCTATGAAAACTATTATATCCTCTCGTTTGAGTCCAACCTCTCGACTGCTAGGAATATTTTGATTTAAATCTTCGACAAGAATACAATTCTAAAACAATCAAAATTTTAATCAGTGTTAAGAATTTTTTTATCAATTATTCTTTATTGTTCCCCCTCCCCCTTCCCCCTCCCCCCTCCAAACAAAACTAACTTGATTTTTGTCTTCTAAATATTCTTGCTTGAAAACAAAACCCATTGTTTGAAAAACGCTTTTCGTGATAACAATATCAATTAAATAATAATTGTTTTTGCCATAATTGATTATATCTATCCATGGCACTCGACCTAGAACAGAATGATTTACAATAAGTTATTTGGAAAAATGCAACATTGTAATGAATATTTTTATTTTATCGAATAAAGTTTGTTCCACACCTATGCCACTGGTGCAAAAAACTTCCGACATTTCTGGAGCAATTTCATTTAATCTTGTTACTTTGTGAATGATCATATGAAGTTGTCCATTTGGAATTTGTTCCGGTTGAGTACTATTTTGAGAAGATGTAAAAAATGGCTTGTATCTTATTTTGTAATTAGGCAATGTGTGTTTTTTTTTCAGCGTTTTTTTAATCTGCAATTAAAAACATTTGTAATTCATCACTTATTGATAAAGAGTTTTATAAGTTACCTGTTTTTGATTTATTTTTGAAATACCTGACTAGAAATAAAGTTTGTGATTTGTTGGAATGGTCTTCCTTGGAAATATGATTCAACATGAAGTTCAATTTTAGGTTCGTTAAAAAATGTGAAAGACCAGTGGGAATAAGGCAAACGAGTAAATTCTAATCTGCCTTCTCCATATAATTCATTAACTAAAATTTTTAAATTTAATAAAGTAATCGATAATTAAATAAAAAAAAAAAAAAAAAAAAAAGGGGGAGAAAAAAAAAAAAAAATTACTTTGAATAGAAATTAAAGCTGCTTTTCCTAAAAGCATGTTAGCTTCTACAACTAGTCTAAAACCTCCTGAATAATTGACATCTAGTTTTAAATCCAACACATCAATATGAGAATAATCTTTATTGACTTTAACATCTTGTATTGATATATTATTTAACACTGGAAATTCTGAACCTAAATCAATTTCAACAATCTAACAAAAAAAAAAAAGAAAAGAATCAATGTAATTATGGTTAACTGAATATTTAAATATTAAGGTAAAATTTATATTTTACCTTAATATTTCCAACCATTTTTCCAATCGTCGATTTAGATAATAATTCTTCAAATTCTATGCATAATTTTTTTCGAAACCATAACCTAATTTTTTCAGTGTCTCGAAGCTCGTGAAATAAAAATTGAAGCATTAAATTTAAAGAAACGCAGCTTTCTTTTGTGACAAGCTGGTTACAATGTATAACATCCAACAGAACCTAAATTAAGTAATTTTGAATTTAAATTTATTACCACTAGTTGAAAACAATTATAATAATAATTATTACAATGCAACAAAAAAATGTTTACCTTGGGTAATTGAAAAGGTTCTAATTTTATTTTTTTTTCTGGTATGGTAGCTCCTTGCTGCTGGAAATATTTTATGTATACATAATACTGAAAAATCAGAGTTATTAAAACTCCTAGACATATTGAACATAATACTGTTAAAATCCATGATATGAACATGACTTTTACTGTGCATTCCGTGATTTTAAACTAATAATAAATAAGGAACCTGAAAAATTTCAAAAACTTTGAGGATTTCGTTTTACTAAGTAATATCGGTTTTACTTAATTTTTTTTTTTTTTTTTTTTTTTTTTTTTAAATACTTACCTGTTTTAATTAAAATAATTAAAAATTAATTTTTCACTTGTTTTACCATATTGTTAAGGCAGTTGTCATAATTAAAAAATTGAGTAATTTACATCAATGCCACTAAACCACAAAAAATTATTCACCACTGACATAAGGTAATAATTTATAAAAAAACAATTACATTTGAAGTGACCATGTAAGGATATCTACAATTTCTATTAAAAACAAAAACGAGTATATTTAGAAAGACATATTGAATATTGTTAAAAAAAAAACTAATTTTCATCGCAAACTAATTGTTCGTGACATTTGATCGGTAAATTTAAAAAAAAAAGAAAAAAAAGAAAGAAAAAAATTTATTTTTTTTATTTCTTGCCTTTTAGTTTTTTCTAGTCATTGTCCACCCAATAAATAAAATATTTAAAAATTACTATTTAATTTGTTCATAACTATGTTCTGCCGATAGTATTAAACATATGGTACTTGACTAAAATTTATTTGTAAGTAAATTTTATTTTGTTATTTTTTTCTTGTCAACATAATTAGAAAATTCTAATTCCACTGCAATTTTTGTAATTTTCCGTGTGCCACGATAAAAAAGGTACAAAATTCTATAATTTTTATGAAAGTAAATATCAGTTTAAAAAAAAGTTGATTTTTTAAAAATATGTAATTATGTCTCTGTTTCCAGCCTATTCAGACTTATCTGAAAATTCAAATAACGAACATTCTAAAAGTATTTTAAAAAAATTTGTAATTAAAATTATTTTTTTAGTTTACGAAGAAATTTGAAATTATTTTTTACTTTCAGATGAAAACGATTGGCTCGCCAACAGTAGCTTTCCTGTACCAAAAAGCACATTAGATGATAAAGAAATAGTAAATGATAATAATAATGATAAAAAGAAAAAAAAAGTATCAAACAGACCATTTCCAAAACGTAGAAAGAAAAGAAGAATAAAAAAATTAATAAAAAACTTGAACGAAAATGCCGATAAAGTTCAATATTTGGATAGAAATGGATTATTAATTATAGATAAATTAGGGCTATCAGGTTTAGCTAGAGTTCATGTTGTACCCAAAGAAATTAGACCCATGTGAGTAACGATAAAAACATTTAAATGCACTTTATATATATAATTTATTTTTTTTTATTATTTCAATTTTACTGCTTTATTATTTAAGCTTTTCAGTTTTTTTTAAATAATTTTTTTTCAAGTTTTAGAAATCAATAGTTAATTAGTTATAAGATAAGATACTTGATGACGAATTGTTTCCCTCGAAAATGCTTTAAACAATAATTTTTTTACAGGTATACACGAATAAAATCGGGACTATTTCCGAAAAATCTTTTTAAAAAAAAAAATAAAAAAATAAAAAGATATTTTAGAAATGTAAGTACAAAAAGGAAAATGGAAATAACATTAGAAGATGAAAAACTTGCTTGTAAAAAAGTAAAAGAATTTAACCAAAAATTGGCCGATGATCCGCACAATGTTAATCTGTGGATTGATTTTGTAAATTATCAAGTAATTACTTTTTTTAAAAAAATTTTTTTTTGTACATAAAATTATTAAAAAATTGATTTTTCCTATTGGATTTTTTTATATTTTTATTTACAGGATGAATTTTATCATTATCAGCATTTTACATACAAAACAAAAGTTGAAAGAGACAGAGCAGCTGCACAACATAAATTAAATATATTAGACAAAGCTGTGAAGCATAATCCGGGTAATAGCGAATTACAGACTTTGTGGTTAAAAATAGGCACTAATGTTTTACCTTCAGAAGAAGTAATTTTATTTTTTACAAATTTTTTTTTTTTTGACATAAATTTTTTTTTCTCATAACTAAATATTTTTATTTTTGTTTATTTCAGATGTCTCAAAGAATTGATTCTATATTGTCTGATTCAGGAGGTACCATGATTTTATGGTTGGGATTAATGACAACTACTCAGTACTCGTTAGCTCGATGTACTGTACCATCAGTTTCTCAACTGTATGAAAAATTATTATTAAATTTTCAAAATGAAAAAAAATTTGATATTTATTCAAGAGATAAAAATGTTCTAGGTATATTTTACATACATGTATATTTATTATTTATTTATTTATTTTTATGTTATTATGAATGGATTTATTTTTTTTCAGAATTATTATTTCATTATGGCAGGTTTTTGGATAATTGCGGTCAGTGGGAAACATTATGGACAATAATAAAAGTAGTTTTGCAATTCAACACGGATGTTCAACTAAACATAGATATACCAGTTGATGAAAAAGTAAAAGCTCTCGAAGATGATGTTGTCAGTAAGGAAAAACAAGCTGTTTGGAAACTTTGGAGTCAGTTGGAAAGAATAAGAGAAGGCTTACATTTCTTGCCGGATGCTGATTCAATCGATTATCCTCAACGTTGTGTATTACCGGAAAACATTGTAAATTTTACCTGGCATTTTCATCCGGATCTTCATTTTCAACTAATTGTTACATTTATTATTTTACTAAAGGTATAAAAAACATATTTTTGGAGAAAAGTTTATCTTTGCAATAACTTATATATATATAATTTATCATTTTCAGGTTCCTTTACTACCATCTTCGAATACCATTTTAAAAACATTGGTGCCAAATCGTTTATCATGGGTATTTGATTCACCCGAATATTTTTTATCGTCGGTATTAACGTCGGTAAGTAAATTAATATATTTAAAAAACATTTTTTTATTTTATTTTTTATCACCACTCGATAATTTTTTCAGCCTGCCTTAAGTCTTCAGTTTGATTATTTACAATCGTTGACACAACTCAGTAGAGGGCCTCAATATTTGAGAAATCTCTTTGGACAAAATGAATTTTTAGATTTAATAACATTCACATTTAAACAATGTTTTCAAATTTTACATGGGAAACAAAAAATATTTATAGGAATTTGGTGGTTAAGATTCGAAAGGTGGTTACACACACTGAGTAGTCTTAATTTATCCACATTGCCAGACAACAGGAAGTCAGCCAAAGATTTTTTTAAGGAATTTTTAGAAAATCCAGAAAATAGGTGAGAAAGAGAGAGATAGAGAGAGTATAGAACAGCAGGAAAGGCTTTAACTGGAGAAACTTACAATTTATTTTGTTTTTTTTAGGGAAAATTTATATTATTACAACGAATATTGTTTGTTGCAATATAAAAAAAACAATCCTTCGAATTGTATAAAAATTTTAAAAACGTTAATATCATCAAAACCGCCCGTTTTGAAATTGGAAAATCACGAAAGAAATTCTCTCATGACGGTGTACAGAACGTATTGTGAAGTTTTGATCGGTGAAGATCAAAGGAACGACGCAATAAATTTATTAATAAATTTAGGAAATGGCGTCAGTTTCGATAGCGAAGTCAACATACATTCTCTCGTGCAAGCAGAAAAAACATTTAAACAAACGAGTATCGAGTTAATTGGAGAGTTAAATTGTACCGAAGAATTTCCGCTGGAGGATTTATTGTTACCCAATTTTATTGTCGATTGGATTTCTTGTTACATGTGGTTAATCTCTCTGACGAAAACATCATCATGTTTGAAAAATTGTTATAACGAACTTTTCAATTTGCTCGATGGTAAAACCGCCGGTACGTTGACAGAACAAATAAAGGAAAGTTTGTGGGAGTCGGTTTTGTCAATCATTTGGAAATATGAAAAAACGAATTTTTTGTACGTTAAAACAACACTTCAAACGGTTTATTTATCGTATCCGGAAAATTTAAAAATTCTTAACTTTTTGGCAAATAATTGCATCGATATTAACACGTTATGGCTGTCGATAAATAAAATTTTTCTCTCACGTCCATCGACGACGAGCTCCGTTTTTCTAACGTGCGTGGCTTTGGATAAATTCAACAAAGACAAAGACGTTTACCAAAACAGAATGAAAAATTTATTTAATAATTTGGCATCGGGTGAAGGGAAATTATCTGCAATCGTTCACTGTTTGAGATTAAGATATTTGTTTGAATATGCGAATGAAAAACTTGAAGTTGCTCAACTTCAAGCCATAGATTCATGTCCGTGGCATAAGGTTTGTTATTAAACCTTACAGGTATGTTTAACCCTTTTTAATATATATCATGTACAATAAATATTTATTTTTAGGGTGTCTACATGGAAAGTATATTATTATTACCAGCTAAACTAATGCAATTGACTGATATTTTAGTCGAAAAAGAATTGAAGATTCACATTACACCAGATGAAATTCAGGAAATGAGAGATTAAGGAAAATTTCTCGAAAGGGTAATCACACTTGTATTGAAAAAAATCATTAAAGAAGGAGTTTGTAAAGATCAATGATAATTACAATATATACAAAATTTAAGGCCATTATAATTAAGTTTATTTTGTTTTTAAATATTCCAAATCAAAAGACATTCATCATTTATTTATTTATTATATTGAAAAAGTAACATTTATTTGTTCTCGAGAGAGAGAGTGAAAACTACAATTCTTCTTTTCTACTAATTTTAACAAGCTCAACTTCAAATGTTAGTACAGCATTTCCAGGGATTCTAGGAGGAGCACCAGATTCTCCATATCCCAATGAGGGAGGAATCAACAATTTTCGCTTTTCTCCTTCGCACATTCTGCAAAAGGTAATTGAATTAATTATATGAAATTAATACTTGTAAAACTTATTTTGAATATCGTACAAACCCCATGAGTCCTTGATCCCATCCTCGAATAACTTGTCCAGATCCTAAAGTAAATGTAAAAGGTTCACCTCTCGGGTAGCTGCTATCGAATTCTTTTCCATCTTCTAATGTGCCTGTGTAATGCATGTGAAGCAAATCTCCTTTTCTCGATTTCATTTTACAATTTTCAACTCTTTTCTTAATTCCTATTTGAAGTTTTTTAACATCTCCTTTCGACTCGACATTAATTAATAATGTCAAGAGTAAAATAAAATTTCCAAACAATATTGTGAAATTCATTTTTTTTTTTAACCGTAATTTAGAAAAAAAAATTGTGATTGTTGTTCACCTAATGAGGTTAATTCACATTAAAATTTTTATCCCAAGTTAAAAAAACATTCTTATCAGAATGAAAATTAATCAAACCTTTTGATTAACAGATAATTATACTAATTTTTAATTCATAAAAAAAAAAAAAAGTTATGATTGAATATTGATATATTACACGTTTTTTAATAAGAAATTTGAATGTAGTTACCAAATAATTTATTTATTTAATAACGGTAGCTTTACAAAAATCAAAAAATAATTTCAAAATAAATTTAAATAAAATTAAAATTCAATGTTTATATCAATAATAATACTATCTGAGACACTTAAGTTATCAAAATATTAATCACTTATTTTAATAATAGTAAGTAGTAAATAATCAAAAAAATTTATCGCGCGAAAACGTATTTTTTTTTTCTTTTATTTAAACTTAATTTAAACAAAATTTCAAAGAAAAAAAAAAGGGGGAAAAAAACTTGATGGAAAAAAAATTTAAATTTATAATTTACACCGGTACAGGCTTTAAAATATTAGTCATCAAACTTTTCATATTTATAGAGGGCGGTGATATTTATGCAGTCGCCGTTTTCTCATTGTACTTTCAGTATAATAACTGGTCGTCGTTTGTAAGTTAACGAAGGTGTGCCGATATCGTTTAGAAATATTATTATTATTTTATTATTTTTTAATTTAGTCATTTAAAAAAAAAAAAAAAAAAAAAATTTTTTTCCATTCGGTTATTTATTTAGCATGAATTTTATTTATTTTTTTTAAAAAATAAAATAAAAAAAAAAAAGAAAAATGTTTTTACCGTGGTTTTCGATCTTTTTTTATGAAAAAAATTGTGACGTCACTATCTACCACTTTACGCCGCCATTTTAATTTGTGCCAGTGAAATTCGAGATGTATAAATATTTTATTTAATATAAATTCGTGTCTTTTTATTCACGGGGGAGTGATCCCCGATAATTATTTACTAAGTGAATAAAACAAGGAGAGTTTATTATGGCTGGTCAAACCATAAATGACAGATTGCTTGCCGCGAGACACAGTCTTGCCGGCCAAGGGCTGGCAAAATCCGTTTGTAAAGCTACAACTGAAGAATTAATAGGACCGAAGAAAAAACATTTAGATTGTAAGTCACATTTTAAATGTAATTATAATAATAATAATTTTCTCACTCATTAATCGGAGACATTTTGTCGTTATTGATCGCTTTTCAAGCAGGTCATCTAACTTGACGTATGCTGGTTCTCACTTGTGCTTGTCAAGATTATTCTTGTTCTTCCTTATTCTTTAAATTAACTCAATCCAACTCGAACAATTTTTTTATTTCTTGAATACCAATAAAACTCGTTATTGAAATTATAACACACTATTGTTATATAATTTTTTTATAATGTATTAATGGAAAGTTGTTTTTTTTTTTTTTTTTTTTTTTTTTTCTGAACAGAACTCATACTTGTTCGTGTCAGTTTTTTTTTTTTCCTAGGCAAATGAATTGCATAAGACCTTAATAACATTAGACAAAAAAAAGGGCCTTTTTATATATTTATACAATTTTATGTTGCTCTCCTATAAATAGATTACATTAAATCTCAAATAATGATTACAATCATAAAAGTATTTCTCTTTTTTTTTTTTTTGCATACATTTATACATATTTTTTCATTTCGAGTAAATTCACAATTTTGTCTTTTCGAAAAAAAAAATTTATTTGTTAATACTTTTAATTATATTTACTTTCTTAATAATATTTGTGTGTGTGTGTGTGTGTGTACACCTAATGTGTAAATTAAAGCCTGTTTATTTTATTATTATTATTATTAATTTTTAAAAAAAACCTTGAACCCTGTAAAACTTGTTCAAGAATTTAAATCGAGAAATGAAGGAAGAGAAGAAGAAGAAAAAAAATTATTATTATTATTATTAATATTTAAGAATTTATTCCTTTTTTATTATTATTATTATTATTATTAATTCATTTAAACAATAGATACTGTAAGCTAGTAATCCAACCAACCAGCCACACACATACACAATATTGTACATAAAGCAAATGAATTTCTATTGAATTTTTAATCGAGTCTTTATCCATTACATTAATATGTAAATTGAATTCTAATATTTAAAAAAAAAAAAAAAATTTCTTACTGTCAGTAATTTTACATTGAATCGAAAAGGATTTTTTAAAAAATTTTTTTGTACTTTGCAAGAAAAAGTAAATGTGCATCTCGATTAAAATGAAAAAGTATGTATTGATGTGTATGAAAGTATAAATTTAAATTTATTTCATGTTTAACAGCTGAGTTAGCATTTGATGGACACAAAAAAAAAAAAAAAAAAAAAAAAAGTTGAAACGAGTTTGTCTTTTAATGCAGTTTGAACACACACAACCATTCAGTTTTATTATTCGACATTAAGAGAGTGAGAGAGAGAGAGAGAGAGAGAGAGTGTGTGTGTGTGTGTGTGTGTGTGAGTATGAATTTGCAAATTTTATTTTGCTGTTAATTTATTTTAAACTAAGAGTTATCAAAAAAAATATTAATAGTTGATTAGTTAGCAGTAGGAAAATAATTTTTTTTTTTTTTTTTTAAACTTGATTTTTTCATTATCACATCGATTTTTCTTTTATATCGGTTTCTTTTCTTAAATGGGTGATGGGGAGAGGAAGGTGAGGGAGGGCGGTGGGTAGAACATGGAATAAACACTTTCTTTCTCTCTCTCTCTTGTCGTAATTAAAATTTTCTTTATTATTGGCAACTGCTTTATAATTTTCAATACAAACATTGATATCGATTAAGAATAGAAACGCGAGTAGTAATGGAAACAACGGTAAAGAAGAAGAAGAAAAAAAAAAAGTTGATGTTAGTGAACGCTAAGAATTTTTTTAATTTTTTTTTTTGAAATTTATAAGTTTCATCCTCGGTTTCAAAAAAGAAAAAAGAATAATAATAATAATAATAATAATAATAACGATCGTTTTTTTTCGTTGACGGAGAGATTAAATTGGGCGCAGATAAAAATTCGTGACTTAACCAGGTGCCCGATAGAAACTCTTCGTGTAAAAAAAAGAAAAGAAAAGAAAAGAAAAATAATTTAACGACGTTATGAAGAAGAGAGAGAGAGAGAGAGAGAGAGAGAGAGAGAGAGAGAGAGAGAGAGAGAGAGACAAAAAGATACATAAAGACGAAGTTCAAAATATTTTCTTTTGTACCTGAGTTTGAAAATTTGATTTCGTTTTTTTTTTTTTTTTTTTTTTTTTTTTCCTTAAAAAAATGTGACGTTTGCCCGGCAAAAAAACAAGAAAAAATTACGTGGAAAAAATAAATAAAGAGAGACAGAGAGAGAGAGAAATTTTTTTTTTTTTTTTTTTTTTTTTTTTGGAGCCCCCGATAAATTATTAATGGTATTATTATTATTATCATCATCAATAAGTCCCAATACGGAATTTAAAAAAAAAAAAAAAAAAAAAAGACTTATTGGTTTAAATGTAAAAAAGAAAATAAAAAAGTTTCAGTTGTGTTGTAATTTCCATCGTGTTGTCAGATCGATAAATTTTTTTTTTTTTTTTTCTAAAACGACGACTTCGTAATGGAAATTTTATATTTTACATTCACGTTTTATTTAAAAAAAAAAAAAAAAAAGGGGGGGGGAGAACTCAAATTGTAATGTTAAATAAATCCCTTTCCCCCTTACCCCCCATTTGCTAATTTTTTTTTTCGTTTTTTATACGCCATATTACTTAATGGTCTTCGTAAACTTTCTTCCTTCTTTACTTCTTTTTTTTTTTTTTTTTCACTTTATTAATTGTGTGATGAAGTGGTGATGGTGATGGTGATGGTGGTGGTGGTTGTAGTGGTGGTGGTGGTGGTGATGGTGGTGGTGGTTGTAGTGGTGGTGGTGGTGGTGATGGTGATGGTGATGGTGATGGTGATGGTGATGGTGGTGGTGATGGTGGTGGTGGTTGTAGTGGTGGTGGTGGTGGTGATGGTGATGGTGATGGTGATGGTGATGGTGATGGTGGTGGTGGTGGTGGTGGTGGTGGTGGTGGTGTCGGTGTCGGTGATGATTAATACAAACTTTGTTGCGGCTTGAATGAAACGGTTAAAATTCAAGAATGATCATAAGTTTGTTGTTGTTTCGTTTTGTTTCGTTTTGTTGTTGTTTTAACTGTCCTGATAATTTTTGATTATCGTTTACCTACCTACCTTCATACCTACCATTAAAACAAACAACCGTTTAAAAATTTCCGATAATAATTTTCATTTGTTTCTTGTGTGTGTGTGTGAGAGAGAGAGAGTTATCAACGAATTCGTTTTTTCTCTCTCTCTCTCGTCATGTTTTTGTTCTCTACGTGATTGAAATTCGGCGTCAACTCTCGTCGTCATCATCATCATCATCATGTTCATCACCACCGTGACAATCACATCGATCGATTTTCCGATTTTCTGTTAGCTATTAAAACGAGAAAATTTTTCATTCCTCAACTCATTGTTATTCTACTCATAGTCGTCGTCGTCGTTGGTGAAAAACGGTTGAAAAATACATACATTAAAAAAAAAAATTGCGTGAATACGTGGATAAAAATTATTATTATTATTATTATTATTATTATTATTATTATTATTATTATTATTATTATTATTATTAATATTCGCATTTTTGAATTAAAATTCGGTTTCCGTGTTTTCGAGACTGAACAACACACACACACGCTGGTTGGGTTCACTTTTTGGTATTGTTTTCAAATAAGAAAAAAAACGTTGTTTGAAAGAAGAAGAAAAAATAAAGAACCTGATTGGATAACTTCCATATAATTATTCGTGCGTTGCTTCTGGCAGGTTTTTTTATTATTATCATTATTATTATTCTTTGCAGAATGTATGTTTGTGTGTGTGTATTATTTTTATTCGCAGAAAATTATGAATGTGTTTTCCCCATCCTCCTCTCTCTCTCTCTCTCTCGAGTAAACGTTGACGTCAAACAAATCGTGCGTCTCTCTTTACCTATTAAATATTTCATTAGATAGACAGACATCTTCATGAAACGAAAAAAAAAAAAATAATAATAATAATAATAATAATTCGTCGTGGTGAATTCGGTTGTGCGTGTGTGCGTGTGTGTGCGCGTGCGGGATTCGTTTGCAACAAACAGTTTGTTCATAGAGATAATATTCGATGGGGAAAACGGTTTTGCAGGTTTAAATTTTTTTTTTTTTTTTTTTTTTAAGGACCTTTACCGATTGGACGTTAATAATTGAATGGCGAGAGATGATGATCCGGTCGTGGGTGTGATTGTCGGAGTTGTTATCATTTATCACTGCGTTCTGTGACCTTGGATTATTAACGCTTTTAGTAATTTTTTCCAAGTCGTTTTTTCGAGATATCTCGTTTCTTGTTCGTTTCTCGCTTCCGTTGTCGCCGCACCATTTTGTTTTTTTTTTTTTTTTTTCTCCTCGTATCCTTTCCTTTTCTTTCACCCGAATTGTCGAACGTGGGGAGGGGAAGAATGAATTTTTCCGTTTGAACAAAATTACAAAGCAAAGGAAGGTGGGGAAGGCGTGAAAATATAACGTCAGCTGATAACTCGCGAGTAAGTTATACCTACACGGATTCTGATCTAATTAGAACTCTTAATTACTTTAATTTTTTAATTTACTCTCCGAGAGAAAATGAATTTTTAAATAATTCGCCATGTTGCCATCGTGATACCCGGCTTTGGGGGGGGGGGAAGAGGGTGGAGGGTCGTGACTTATAATATCCTTACGCCGATTATTGATTGTAAATTTTTTTTTTTTTTTTTTTTTTTCGGGGAGTTTGATAGTGTTTTGTGATCACGTGATTAAAATTTAATATATACGCGAGCATTTTACTTATACAAAAAAAATCACTGAATCACTGTTGTTTTGAAATTTTTGTGAATTTTCTTCTTTTTTTTTTTTTAATGTTTTTTTTTGTTTTTTTCTTCTTTCTTCTTCCTTTTTTTTTTTTTTTTTTTTTTTTTGATTTTTTTTGTAAATTTGTTTTTGAAGGCTAAGGAGGAATCAAAATTCTTTTGCATCAATCGTCGAAATCGATATAAATGTTTTTCTGTTTTTTTTTTTTTTTTTTTTGTTTTGAAAAAAACAAAACTTTTTTTTTTTTTTTGTTATTTGTTATTGTTTTAATTTACTGTCTCTTTTTTTTCTTTTTCTCTCTCTCTCTCTCTCTCTCTCTCTCTCTCTGGAATTAATTTATCGATTTTGAATATCCCGGGGGGTGGGCGTGGGAGTGGGAGTGGGAGGGGGGGAAAAACAACTTTAAAGTTTTTACATTATTTTATTTTCTCTTTCTTTTTTAACGACGTGCCTTTTTTTCGTTTTTATTTCAAAAAAAATAAATAAAATTTCGTAATCAAAATGTTTTTTTTTTTTGCATTGCATTGCTGATAAGTAAATAATAATAATAATAATATTGAATCGTATGAATTTTCGCTTATTCGAAAAATAATGTAAAAAAAATAAAGAAGAAAAATTAAATAAATAAATAAATAAATATTGCGTGCGTGCGTGTGTGTGTGTCTCGTTCTATGCCGATTATTTTATTTCTTAAACGTTGTCAAATTTATTTTAGTAAAAATAAATATTTATAAATATATCTGTATGTTTGTGTGTGCGTGTGCGTGCGTGTGTGTGTTATCAGGGAGAGAGAGAGAGAGAGGAGTGTGTGCGCGCGTGTGCATTTTTTTTTTTTGTAAAATCGATATTGCTGTAAAAAAAAAAATGGAAAAGGAGACGATGAATGTTTTGAAACATAATAAGTTAATTTAATATTTAAATTATCAATGTTATGTGTTACGGATTATATCGATGAGAGAGAGTGAGAGAGAGAGAGAGAAAAAGAGAAAATTTTCCTTTTTTGAAAAAATGGCGAGGAAATCTAAAAAAAAATATTGTTTTTTTCTCTCGTTCGTTCGACTCTCCATTCGAGATATCGATTTACGGTTTTTCGATTTTCATTTAAAACCTCGTCGCATGAACGTCGTAATACTAAACAAATGTTATTGCATGTATTTATTATTATTATTATCATTTGTTGTTGTTGTTGTTTTATTAACTGATTGCATTTTGTAACTTTTTTTTTATTTAATTTTTATCAATCGTTTTTTTTTTTTTTTAATGTTTATTGCACGTTTTCGAGTTCATTTTTATTTAGCCTTATTCGATTATTATTATTATTATTATTATTATTATTATTATTATTATTATTATTATTATTATTATTATTATTATTATTATTATTATTATTATTATTATTATTATGTTTCTTGCAAAAAGGTCAATCGAGATGTGAAATGGATGATAAAGATTGAACATTTTTTTATGCGCTATCGCGGTCATGATTTACTCCCGCGTGTTTTTTTTTTTAATGTATTATTTGTTTTCCTGCCTCGGAAAATTTCTTTCTTTTTTCCCCGTAGTAAACGAATTACTTATGACCGAATTAGTTTCCGCGTTTTTGCCTATGTCGGTAAAAAAAAAAAAAAAAAAAAAAAAATGGCCTAGTCGGAGTCGACCGGTGTTAACGAACTATCTAGAAACATTTTTGCCAGGGTCAAATCAATTACATGGGTAAAAAAAT